GGGACGGGGGGGGGGGGGGCGTAAAAGTGCCCGCGGCAACTTTGATGTCACCTAGCGTCTGAACGACTAGCCGTAGAACGGCCAAACTTGGTGACTTTTCCTAGAATATTGTTGGCAACATTTCTCTATCATTGGAATAAGATAATAATTTTTTGTGTTGCCATAGCAACGGGTTTCTGACAGGCATTTTTTTTAGTACTAAATTTAGTACTTTTTGTTTCAACAATAGAATTTTATGGGTTTTATGTCAAGTTACTCATGGTTTGTAATATTAATAACATCCCATATAATTTATGTAAATTTTATCATTACATATGCATAATTTATGCTAATTTGCTGACGTCATTGGTCAAAATCCAAGATGGCGGACCATATCATTAGAACAGGTATATACAGGTTATTTTCATTAAAATTTCATCGATACTTCCATTTCTTTTTCCAAAAAAGGTTTAAATGAAGGTCTTTAGTATGTTTACGATGTATTTTAGGCTTTATCATGAAAAAAACTATTTTTGAAAATTCAAGATTGATGATCCAAGATGGCGGATATCTTAAATATGCATGACGTCATTTTATGACGTCACCGGTGTTGCTATGGGCAACATAAGACTTAGTACACCATAATATTCTGTCATAAACACTTTTGGTACAGTTATGTTGAAAACCATTTAGTTTTCAGGGAAAAACCTATTTAGACGGTTTTGGCCAATAAAATCACATTAATGACGTCATAATGACGTCATATTACATCATAACGACATAAAAATTGTAGATATGATAAATTTTCACTAGTACATCATTCTCTTAAAATTTGGTGGTCATACGACATACCGTTCGCGAGTTCTTAGGGGGGGGTCAAAAGAGCCCCCCCCGGTCCCCCCATGTCAAAAAAAGCCCGGTCTAGGTAGGGTTAAAAGACAACAACGCAGCAAAAAGTTTTTAAAAAATGATCATGGGGACTAGTTTCATATGTTCTTGATATAATGGAATAGTATGGAACTTGAACTTGGCTATTAATGCATAAAACCTTGGGAATGCGTCATTTTAAAACTAAGAAAACACATCAAAAACATTTCTGACAGGCCCAATGATTCTCTTCTTCCATAATATAAGAGCTATTGAAACGTCTATTTGCCCTACCTATCCCCACGTCTGTAATCGCCACTCCGCCAACAGTCAATGCCGAGCTCTGCGCAGCCGTGACGAGGACGGTGCCGACTTGTTCCTCATCTGGAGCTTCACTGCCGGAGAACTGGACGCCGATTGAGACTGCCACACCGGTGTCCTGCCGACTTTAGAACAGCAGGCAAGTGCTTAATGTTCGTTTACAAATAGTTGGTAAATCAGTGCTTCCTTGTCTTCATATGGCCATGGTGAAGGAATCAGCAGAACAGGTTCCGTAACGCTACGTTGTGTACCATAGAGATATGGTTGTGTATCATAGGCACTATGTTGAAGTACTTACACGTAAGTTGTTGAATTTGATCATAACCATTCAACATGACAGTATGACAAATAATAAAAGGTGTGAATACCTGATACGTTGTACTATTACACCGTTAAATCCAGGGATGGTGTTGTACAAGACAGAAATCTGAAACAAAATATACATTGTATATTTTTTCTTGGTATGCAAGGGTAAACTCTTTATGTTTGCATTGTTATATACAAATCGTTTTTTAACGGTGTCGCTCAATGCAAGGTCAATTATTTTTGGCCCCTTCTAGGCATAGAGCTAGAGGTACTCAAGTGAGTATAATGTAATTATGTCAGGAGATGGCGGTGGACCTTTGAAGTGAATATGACAAGTCAGCTCAGTTCAGATGGTTCATCAGCCAGGTGTCATCATGTGTCCCGGTCGTGTTAGATAGTGTAGCAATGTGTTTTAGGACACTGACCCCTCTGACAGCAAGTTGTCATAGACAGACCACGTCTGTAACTGATTAATCATTAGGGACTCAGATGAGTGTCTGACAAAACAGTTCTAGCAGGCAGCCACAGAGTGCAGACCTATTCAATAGTCTTCCCTTTATTTCAATGTATACCCTACAATACAACAGATAGAAGATACTTACCGACGATACAATATCGGCCTCCAATTCTCTGAAAGCAGTTGAGTTCTGATCTTGGTACGAGTCGTCCCATGTGATAGGTATAGACAGAGCCAGGGTGACCGAGTTGATTACGGCTGTTAAAGAAGAAAAATTACATTCAATTTTTACATGCGAAGCAGCTTTGTGTTTAGTCACATGATGTATTTCTTCCGATAAAAATACAACCAATTATACGATACCATATCTTGGACATCTTAAAGAAGTAGGTCATTGTAGAATCAAAATTTATTTTTCAATGGTGCAATATCTAATATATTCATTGATTTCTTCATGTTTCACATACATCAAAGGCATGTTGGAACAGGTGGATCTAAGGACACATTTTCAAGGACACCATGCCGACATTTTCTCACGTATAACATCGAGCTACCGATGTCCTTTTCAAATATTATTTCCAATCCAAAAACTAGAAAATACCAATAACAATTTGTCTACGTTTCAAATATAACGAATGATAGTAAAACGTTAAACTTTATTCCAACACACAATTTACAGAGATCAAATTTTCAGCGACCACTGTCGCCTTCATCAGGATAATTAATGATCAATCACTTCACAACGTGATCAATTGCTTACGTCACGTATCAGTAAAGTCTCGTGTGAATAAGGTCACGTGCTTGTAAACCGTAACTCTCGCGAGATCACGTCGTGAAGTGATTGGTCATTAATTATCCTGATGAAGGCGACAGTGGTCGCTGAAAATTTGATCTCTGTAAACTGTGTGTTGGAATACAGTTTAACGTTTTACTATGATTACTACCAACACAGATGAACTTTCATGATAACGAATGATGTTATGACGAAACTGTATTCTACCTGCTTATGATTATCAACATATCGATTAGAAATATTTAACTTCTCATTTCTTTGTTACTATATTAAAATTAGATCTAGACGATAATGAAATTCTAAACACTTACCTGGAGTCGTGGTTGGCAAACGTGTTGTTTGAAACATGGTTGCCGTACCTAAAGTAAGTATTCATGTAAAAAGGAACATACAAACTATATCAGGGAAACTATCAGATTGTTTTCCTACGAAAAAAGGTATAACATGTCCCTTTTCAACTAACAAGTGCGTATATCAAAATAACTATAGCGTAGCATCTGCTAAATAAGAGTTATCAAGATGTTATAACTCATGATATAGCTTGACATATTCAGTATCAGTTTGCATTTGTTTGCTGATCATCAGATTCAGTAGTTGACTTACATACCATTAACGGACGTGCCAATAGTGGTCGTGTTTTCAAGACGGGTCTCAGATTACTTCTACAAAATTAATTTGGTAATTTTGAATAACGAAGTCAGTCCGGGTGAACAAGAAGAAGACGTTGAAGCAATAGCATGATACACACCCAGAGGAAAAGGCCAATGAGATCGATGTTTTTCAGATGTAGTTCAGAGATGAAGAAAGCATGTAATAAGTGTGCACAAAAACACATTCTACACCAGCTACAACCACTCGGTTTGCACGTCGAAATACCAGTATTCCTGAAGGTTGTACTAGCGACAACCATCGTCACAGACCTGTGGTCTACAGCAGATTAGCACTTGTACAAGTCTTTAAAAGTTGTGATCGAGTCGATCTGCATCTATCTCATGCTGCTGAAGAGTTGGGGACCTTACGGGTAAGGCATAATGTGGACCATGATACATCCTTGATGACATCCATTGGTCATGGTAGCATATAGTAAACGCTTTGAGGAAACACTACCCATGTGCAAAGTTGCGAAATTGATAGTGCATGCGTGTAAATTAATAGTGCATGCGTGTAAAATCGAAACTTATTGTGCAAGAGTGCAAGAATGCAAAATTTACAGTGCACGTGCGCAAAAAGTGAATTACTAATTATCCGCGAGTACAAAGATGCAAAAGTGATAGTGCAAAGTACCCAAACGTCCCAGCGTGCAAGCCCAAGTGTACGGAAGATAACTTCTTTGACAAATACATTTCATTTCTTTACTATAATCATAACAAAGGACAATACTATGAACATAACAAAGGAGGGTGTGCTGGGTAAAGATAAAAATTGAAAGTCTTGGTTCGTCCGGGCTCTGCATGGAAAACCTGGTAAGGCGACCGCACCTGACCGTGTGGATACATCAGCCCCTGCTGATGATGAAGCGACTGGGATGCGTGCCGCCATGGTAGCGTTAGTTGTAGCGAGTGGAGACGTTGTGGCCACATCAGCCTCTGCGATGGACGCAACAGCCGGGATGTTGACCTCCGATTCTGCTCTAGCTGTGTAAGGTGCACGTGGCTTTGATACTGCCATTGTGGTTACAGTAGCCCCTGCCTTTGAAGACGTTGGCGTGATGTTGGTATCTGTTATATGTTGGGCTGCAGGGGGATTTGATGCAGATGTGGTGTGAACAGCAACTCCTACTGTTGACGAAACCGCCGTGATGCTGGGAGACTCACCTCTATCTGCACGCACAGATGCCTTTGTTTGAGTGAATGCAGCAACCCTTCCTTGTGCTGTCGACAAAAGCACATTTGTGTTGTCCTCTGCTGTAGAGTTGAGTTTAGTGATCGTTGGTGGAGGTGTGCTTTGAGCAGCTGTCTTTAATGTTGCCAAAGTTGACCCAATAGCAGTTGTGGTGTCAGCCCCTGCTCTATTGCTGGGGGCAGGGATGGTTTGTGGAGACGTAGAGGATACAGCAGCCCTTACTGTCTCCTGAAGTACAGCTGGGATGTCGGTTTCTGCTGTGGAGTTGGGGACAGCAGTCCCTGTTGTTGACAAAACTATCTTTGCGTGAAGATGTTTTTGCTGTGGTTTTGTTTTTAGATTATGGAGTTACTAAAAAAAAATAAGAACATGGACGGCATTAAGGGCAATATTGAAAAACCCTACCTGGTACTGTGAGAACTGCCCCTGCTGTTGACCGAACTACATTGGTGGTGCCTTCTGCTGTAAAGTTACTGGCAGCAGTCATTGGTGGAGACGTGGTTGGTACAGCAGTTCCCATGATTGTTGATGAAACCATTGAGGCATTCTCCTCTGCTGTAGAGTTGGATGCAGGGTTCGGTGGTGGTGAAGCTGCCACTAGTGTTGACCAAAGCAAAGCAGCGGTGCTGGCATCTGCGGTATTGTTGAGTTCAGGTATCGTTGGTGGGGATGTAGCAAGCCTCGATGTTGGCCGAAGTACAGCTGTGGTGCCTCTCTGTGGTGCAGAGTTGGGGACAACAGGCTCTGATGTTGACAAAACTACGATGGTGTTGCCTTTTGTATTTCTTGTTGCAGTGGCCGTTGGTGGAGACATGGTGGGTACAACAGCCCCTACAGTTGACACCGTCATAGCGCTGGTCCCTTCTGTTGCGGAACGTGCAGAGGTCTTCGATGAAGAGGTGATTGTTACAGCGGCCTCAGGTGTTGACAAAGCCATGGCAGTGTCACTTGCCGGTGTCGTTGATTTGTTGGTTGCAGCAGCCCCTGCGGTTGAGGAAAGCACCTTGGTGCTTGTCTCTGCTGACGTGTTGGGTGAAGGGGTCATTAGTGGTGACGTGGTCGTCACATCACCAATCCCTACTAATGACGACGCTGAATCAGTGCTGGACTCTGCTCCAGTGGTACTTGCAGAGGTCTTCGATTGAGACGCGGTGGTTACTGCCCCTGGTGCTGACGAAATCGCCGAGGTGCTGTCCCATGCTGTAACGTTTGATGAAGCGGGCGCTAGTGGAGACGTACTTGATTGAGCAACCCCTGCTGTTGACCAAACTACAATTGTACTACTACTAGCCTCTTTGGAAGAGTTGGGTGCATGGGTTGCCGTTGAAGATGTGATTGGTGCAGAAGATGCCGCGTTTGACCGAACTACAATTGTGCTGTTCTCTGCTGTAGTGGTCGGTGCAGCGGTCGTAATAGCTGACATGGGTACAGCAGCTCCTACTGTTGACCGGAATCCAGTAGTGCTGACCTCTGCCGTAGAATTGGATGCAGGTATCATCATTGGAGACATGGTGGGTACAGCTGCTGTGGACGAAGCTACCAAGGCCTGGTCTTCTGCTGTAGTGCTGGGTGCAGGGGTCGTTGGTTGAGGCGTGGTAAACGAAGCAGCCCCTGCTGTTGACGGAACAACCATGGAGCTGTCCTCTGCTGTCGTGATGGGTGCAGGGGTGGTTGACGCAGACGTGAGTACAGCAATCCCTGCTGTTGAGCGAAATATTGCTGCGGTGCTGATATTTGTTCTTTGGTTGGACGCAGAGGTTTTTAGTGAGGACGTGGTCGTTACATAATTTACTGTTGCTGAGGAAGCCACCGTGGTGCCAGACACTGCTGTGGTGTTCGGCACGTGGGTCGTTGATAAGAGTATTTCTACTACAGCACCTTCTGCTGTTGGGTTAACGACTGTGGAGTCGGCACCTGCGGCAGTTTTTGTTGGAGGGATTGTTGGTGGTGAAGTGGTACCTACAACAGTTTCTGTTGTGGATGACAACAGCATGGTACTGGTCTGTGTTAGAGTAGTACCAGTAGAGGATTTTGATGGAGACAGGGTAGTTACAGCTGTTGCTGACGATGTGACTGTAACGTGGAATTCTGTTGAAGTGTTGGGCGGAGATTGAGCTGTGGTGCTGACCTCTGTTGTTGCGCTGGGTACAGACGTGTTTGGGACAGATGCCCCTGATGTTGACTGAATCTCAGCTGTGGTGCTGGCTTCTGCTGTTGCGTTTGGTACAGACGTAGTGGGGAGAGCTTCCCCTGTTGTTGATCGAATATGAGCTGTAGTGCTTGCCTCTGCTGTTGCGCTGGGTACAGACATGGTGGGGACAGCTGCTCCTGCTGTTGATCGAATCTCAGCTGTGGTTCTGGCCTCTGCTGTCGCGCTAAGTATAGACGTCGGTTTTGGGACAGCTGCCCCTGCTGTTGACCGAATTTGAGCTGTGGTGCTGGCCTCTGCTGTTGCGCTGGGTACAGACGTGGTGGGGACAGCTGCTCCTGCTGTTGATCGAATCTCAGCTGTAGTGCTGGCCTCTGCTGTTGCACTGGGTACAGACGTGGTGGTGACAGTTGCCCCTGTTGTTGACCGAATTTGAGCTGCGGTGCTGGCCTCTGCTGTTGCACTGGGGACAGACGTGGTGGGAAGAGCTGCCCCTGCTGTTGAACGAATTTTAGCTGTTGTGATGAAGTCTGCTGTCTCGCTAAGTACAGACGTGTTTGGGGCAGCTGCCCCTGCTGTTGACCGAATCTCAGCTGTAGTGCTGGCTTCTGTTGTCTCGCAGGGTACAGACGTGGTGGGGACAGCTGCTCCTGCTGTTGACCGTGCATAGGTAGTTTCTGCTGTTGAATAAAGTACCGTAGTACAACGGGTGTGTATCAGCTGTATGTGTGGCAATGGTCGTTGATTGAGGTGTAGTGGTTCCAGCATCTTGTGTTGAAAAAGAATTACTGTCTTGTTGGCATATCCATTTGCTGTTTTTGTCAAGTACAAATAAAACACTTCTCTCCTAGTAATCCGTGCAATTGCCGGACCCGGAGGTATATGAAGTTTAAATGACTTACGGTATTCTCTGTAACGTTTGCCGGGTTGCTCATACTTCACAACTTTATAAAACTGTATGTAAGGTGGTGCTGTTGTGCTGTATGAATTTCTCCACGTGATATGGACAATGTAATATAGATTGCGTGTAGAAAAGAAGTGCCAAAAATTAATGTAGAGCGTGAAAAATTAAAAGATTTCTATGGCAGGAGCAAGGACAGTAAGAGGCAGAGTCAGGTCATTCTTATGCAACAGCGGGTGAAGACGATTTTTCCAAAGATGCACAAATCCGTGAAGACTTCACTGTGGTTTGCTGCCTGAACATTATTGCAATACGCATAAACAATTTCGTACCATAGTCTAGTCTAATAAAGTCGTACTGTTTTCAACGTTAATATGTAGGGCATGCATTTGAAATGTGCTTGTCCTTGTGGTCTCTGTGCCGTAACGATTTCTACTCGGTATATAGATTAAACAAGTGCTGAATATCTATAATATATTTGTATATCCATCAAAAATATGTATTTTGCATGAATTGGTTTGGTTTTAGTAATTACCTATTGATACCGGGACACAGGAGACCCATAGCGGAAAGATTGGATGGCCCATTATGGGAAAGATTGCATGACCCTACCTGGTGTAGTGGATATAGCAGCCCCTACTGTTGACCCGAATTCATTGGTCGCTGCTGTAGAGCTGGATGAAGGTGTCATCGGTGGAGATGTGGTAGATACAGCCGCCCCTGCTGTTGACCGAACTTCAGTAGTGCTGGTGTCTGCTGTGTTGCTGGATACAGGGGTCGTTGGTTGAGATGTGGTCAATGCAGAAGCCCCTGCTGTTGACCGAACTTCAGTAGTGCTGGCGTCTTCTGTGTTGCTGGATACAGGTGTCGTTGGTTGAGATGTGGTCAGTGCAGAAGCCCCTGCTGTTGACGAAACAGCCGTGGTGCTGGCCTCTGCTGCTGTGCTGGGTGCAGGGGTCATTTGGGGAGATGTAGTAGAAGCAGCCCCTGCTGTTGACCGAACTACAGTTGTGCTGTCCCCTGCTGTGTTGCTGGATACAGAGGTAGTTGGTTGAGACGTAGTAGATGCAGCAGCCCCTCCTGTTGACCGAACTACAGTTGTGCTGGCCTCTGCTGTTATGCTGGGGGGAGGGGTTGTTTGTTGAGATGTGGTGGAAACAGCAGCCTCTGCTGATGACGAAACAAGGGTGGTGCTGGCCTCTGCTGTGTTGCTGGATACAGGGGTCGTTTGTTGAGATGTGGTGGATTCAGCAGCACCTGCTGTTGAAGGAACAGCCGCGGTGCTGGCCTCTGCTGTGTTGCTGGATACAGGGGTCGTCGGTTGAGCCGTGGTGGAGCCAGCAGCTCCTGCTGTTGAAGGAACAGCCGCGGTGCTGGCCTCTGTTGCTGTGCTGGGTGCAGGGGTCACGTGGGCAGACGTGGTGGCCTGCATGGCTGTAAAAAGGGAACATTGTCGTTGTTACTAGAAAACTAGAGAACTTGTTTACATTTAATACCAGTCGCAGTTTTCATATGACATACTACTGCGACTTTAGGGAACATTATTTACATATTGCTATTGGTATAAGTATTAAAAAAACTATGAGACATTGTGAAAACAATCAACAGATAATATAATCCACATTATGAAAGTGTGTTTATAACTGGTTGCTATGCCAATTATTGCTGTTGCCAGCCGTGCAAAAGTCATTTTAGGCATTAATCAATTTAAAACTCTTGTTCTAATAATTTAAAGCTTGCCAGCTTATTCAAAATAGTATCTGTTCACCCACCCATGGGTATCTTGTCATGACCAAGCGATCTCAGCAAAGTTTTTAAATTATTTTCTGTATAAGGTGTTAACGTGTAGTGACTTTGTAGTGTCAGTATATAGAAATATCCGTATTGAGAAAAGAAGGACTATGATAATTCCCAACATATTTTAAAAGAAATAGGTTTACGTAGTACCTGTTGTGGTTGATACAGCAGCCCCTACTGTTGACATGACCGCTGTGCTGGCGGCAGCTGGTGTGGCGGTTGTAACAACTGGAGTTGTTGGTGGAGGTGTGGTGATTCTGACAGCTATTTTGAAAAAATAAGTGTGGCGAAAAAAGAGATACGTTTACGTACAGATTTGCTCATGTTTGGGACCAGGATTTAGCCACAGCATCTCTTTGCCGAATTCAGGGGCCATTCAATGCTAATGAATGCAGCTGAACAGTCACAGAAATGTAAGTAAATTTAACCATTGTGGTTGTAATCAGTAAAATATATTAATTTAAAGTATATACCTTATTTATAATAAGCATGAAACCTTTCAAACCGTGCAGATGCTGAAGATAAAACCATCGTATACCAAATTATTACTGAATAGAGTGGTTTGTGTGAAGGTGTGTCCTTAGTAAGGAAAGGAAGTCGACTACACGGTTGATGTTTGTTCCTCAATGCTTACTTGATTCACAGATGTATTTGTGGTCCCAAGTGCAAGCTGAGTCCGCCCACAAGTCTCTGCGCTCGCTGTTGCCATCGTTCTTATTTACAATATAGGAGCAGGTATTGGGTCCTGGTTCCGAGGGAGCCCAGGCTGAAAAGGAGCCCGTCGCCGTGCCTTGGCCGTCGACCCACGCCCCGTCTTGTTTAGTTTGTCCCAGCCAGAACCGTGCAGACCTGAGGTTTTGGCGAGAAATTTAACATTAGTATGTCTGCTCTCAAACAACTTTTACAGGGTGTATAATAAAGGCTAAATTTTTGTCACACATTCAAGAATCTTTTACATTATATATATGGGATGCAAGTGAGGAGTAATAGTGCATTGAAATCGGAGAAATAAGGCAGGACCAAATTTTTGCTGACCGCAAGTTTATGAAAGCAAGTCGTAATTGTTAAGACGCTTCGAATAGATAGATCTGCACACAAAACTATCCTGTATTAAACAAACCCATTTCAAATTATATTTTTTAAATCACTAAGAAACGATATTAAGCCGTATTTGAGTAGTTTTATAGCTAACATAGTTATATTAGTATCGGTAGTGCTGTTTATTCTACAAAATGTAAAAACCTTTATATCTGTTCACCTGTACTTGCATGTAGCCCGATAAGACATCAATGTACCCTAAAGGTTATCTGTTAGTTAAACCGATTGAACTCTAAAAGTCTTTATACGGCGAGGAGTATATGAAATGTTAGTTCTTACGTGCTGATGCAGTTCTTGTAGAACACATAGTATCGCTGCTCGTTTGAGTCCCGAGGCACGGCGACTATTTGGCCCAGTCCGGTGCAGCTTGTCTCGGCCGCGTCGTAGGTGACAGCACCCTCCGGCCCATCGGTGTATGTCTTGTCATTAGGCAGTGTGATGGAACTTGTGTCCGTTGGGCAACTCTCAGGGACGACCCAAGGTCCTGTCAGCAAATACAAAGTTATCGTTTATAAGTTTGTTTGTTTTACTTGGGAAGCATACTTTATGTACTACAATACTACTCTGACTTTAGGGAACATTATTTACATATTGCAATTGGTCTAAGTATCAAAAAAATATGAGACATTGTGAAAACAATCAACAGATAATTTAATCCACATTATGAAAGTGTGTTTATAACTGGTTGCTATGCCAATTATTACTGTTGCCAGCCGTGCAAAAGTCATTTTAGGCATTAATCAATTTAAACTCTAAGACTTGTTCTAATAATTTATAGCTTGCCAGCTTGTTCAAAATATTATCTGTTCACCCACCAATGGGTATCTTGTCATGACCAAGCGATCTCAGCAAAGTTTTTAAATTATTTTCTGTATAAGGTGTTAACGTGTAGTGACTTTGTAGTGTCAGTATATAGAAATATCCGTATTGAGAAAAGACGGACTATGATATTCCCAACATAGTAGTACCTGTTGTTGTTGATACAGCAGCCCCTACTGTTGACATGACCGCTGTGCTGGCGGCAGCTGGTGTGGCGGTTGTAACAACAGGAGTTGTTGGTGGCGGTGTGGTGATTCTGACAGCTATTTTGAAAAAATAAGTGTGACGAAAAAAGAGATACGTTTATGTACAGATTTGCTCATGCTTGGGACCAGGATTTAGCCACAGCATCTCTTTGACGAATTCAGGGGCCATTGAATGCTAATGAATGCAGCTGAACAGTCACAGAAATGTTGGTAAGTTTGACCATTGCGGTTGTAATCTGTAAAATATATTAATTCAAAGTATATACCTCATCTTTAAGTATGGAACCTCTCAAGCCGTGTAGATGCTGAGGATAAAATCACCGTATACCAAATTATTACTGAATAGAGTGCTTTGTGTGAAGGTGTGTCCTTAGTAAGGAAAGAAAGTCGACTGCATGGTTGATGTTTGTTCCTCAATGCTTACTTGATTCACAGATGTATTTGTGGTCCCAAGTGCAAGCTGAGTCCGCCCACAAGTCTCTGCGTTCGCTGTTGCCATCGTTCTTATTTACAATAAAGGTGCAGGTATTGGGTCCGGGTTCCGAGGGAGCCCAGGCTGAAAAGGAGCCCGTCGCCGTGCCTTGGCCGTCGACCCACGCCCCGTCTTGTTTAGTTTGTCCCAGCCAGAACCGTGCAGACCTGAGGTTTATGGCGAGAAATTTCCATTTAACATTTAGTGTGTCTCCTGTCAAACAGCTTTTACAAGGTGTGTGATTCAAACTAAATCCTTGTCACACATTCAGGAATCGTTTACAAGATACGGAATGCAAGTCAAGGTTTATTGTGCCTTGAACTCGGAAGAGAAATTAGGCACGCATGTTCGTTTTAGGACCAAAATCTTGCTTTTACAAGTTTTTTAAAGTATCTAGTACTTGTTAAGACGCTTCTAATCGATACAATGACAGAGATCTGCAAAAATTAAAATGGTTTTAACATCACAAAGAAATGAGAAGAAGCCTAACCTCTATATCAGAATAGTTTTAGAGCTACTATAGTTAATATTAACAGTCCTATTTGTACTACAAAATGTATATGCCTTTTTATCAGTTCACTTGTACTTAGCCCGATAGGACACCGTTGTACCATAAAAGTTATTTGTTAGTTATACTGAGTGAACTTCAATATTAACTGTGAGGTCATGTGGCGCAATCGGTAGCGTGTTCGGCTCACACACCAGAGGTCGCTAGTTCAAACCCCACCTTGTCACTGATCCTGTGCCCTTGGGAAAGGCACTTTACACGGCTTTCCTCACTTCACTCAGGTGGAAATGAGTACCTAGCTTCGGCTAGTGTTTGAGGAGAGCCACACCCCACGCACGTTAAAGAACCCACCACACCTTTCGGAAAAGAGTAGGGGCATGCCCCGGTGTACTATGGTCCAAATTCTACATCGCACAGCCCAATTGTACAGTGTAGCAGAAGAAGGGTCATTATCAGGTGAGAAGTATGAAATGTTAGTTCTTACGTGCTGATGCAGTTCTTGTAGAACACATAGTATCGCTGCTCGTTTGAGTCCCGTGGCACGGCAACTATTTGGCCCATTCCGCTGCAGCTTGTCTCAGCCACGGAGTAGGAGACAGCACCCTCCGGCCCATCGGTGTACGTCTTGTCATTGGGCAGTGTGATGGAACTTGTGTCCGCTGGGCAACTCTCAGGAACCACCCAAGGTCCTGTCATGATCAGCATATATATATTGGTTTATTTCACAAATGCAACAAGAATTCGAGAGACTTCATACCTCCATGAAATATATGAGTTTTTGTAAACAGTACACTAAGTTTTTCAAATTCAAACACACAGCTAATACAAACCCTAACCCTAAGCCTGAAATAGGTCGACTATTAAAACCCTAGGTTATTTTCTTTTAAATACCAGTAAATTATATACAAGGACACTAAAACAAGGACACTAAATACAACCTGTAGGCACAAAAGGACTGTACGGATTACCTACTATGCAGAGTTGTTCAACAGTTTGAAAAATTATGGGATTGAGCTCTTTTTATAACGGTCGGTTCTTGCTGACAATTGGTCAATCTTTCTGTTCTGTCTGATCACCCTGCCGCTAACATTTTCTCTAAGTTCAGGCAACCAGTGACTGTACAGATCGGAGTTGTGTACCTTCTTGGCGAACCTAGCACACAGAGCGACTCTTCGGTCTTCAAGTGTTTGGAGTTTCAGCACTTTCAAGGCTGAAGAGTAGTTAGTTAAGTTCTTAGTAGTTAGTAAAGTTGGTAAAATACATTTTTTACTTGGGAATATTTTTACATGTAAAACATACTTTATGTACTAACGACACTACTGTCACTTTACAGAACATTCTTTACACATTGTTACAACTATCGCAACATTTTTTGGGCGTTCTAAAAATCATCGACAGATAATATAACTCACATGACCCACATGGCATTAAGTTAATTTTTCAGTGTAATAAAAAAATAGACCGGTATTTTTTTTGTTACGACTTCTAATGGCTGAAGTTATGTTATTTGTTTTGTTTACTTTTATCTTAAAGTAATAGAATGCTTATCTAGGCCTCTTCTCACACATATATAAACGATGTCAAAGCAACAAAGCAATATGGTAACAATGATAAAGAAAGGGAAAGATTTTTTTGTTATGAAAGTTCATCTGTGTTGTTAGTTTGAGGCTGTAGGATTTTTGGACTCTGAACAAGACTATTTGAGAGGTGTGAAGGAAGCCATATACATCAGGGCCAATCACCCTTCATTGAACCGCGACGGGGACCGACATCGTCTACCAGATACCTTTGACCCAGTGTTGACGTCACACTTCAAAGAAGCCACGTGACAAGCTTCACTGGGTCAGTCTACTGAGGAAGACCAGAGTGACTGATCGAAAACTCTAGGTGAGATTTTTTGTGTGTGTGGAACATGAAACATATTTTTGTAAAGATTACATTGGATTTAACTAGAAAGGCCAATATTTGCTTTGGAGCAAATACAGCGAAGGGTTCACCACATTTTACCACATGGCAGGGAAAGAATGAGAAACACAAGGGAAAACAATGATTTACCAGGGTTCTAGCTATAATTTTATTTTAGCGTAGTGGTACCTGACGCACGTCGAGGGAGCGAAGCGACCAAGAGTGGGGATGGGGCGGAAGGGGGGAGGTGCCCCCCTTCCGCGGTGCGGAGCTTTTAAAAATTTAAGCTTAAAAAGCAGCCATTTGAGGGATACCCAAAGGGAAAAAATGTCATTTCTAAGGTATGTACAATGTATCCTTGATTAGTAATTTTTATATTTTTGCAGCTTGGAATCTTCACAAAATACAGAAGATGCTCCAAATCAGACACAACCAAGAACAGACTCTGAGATAAATTAAATGTTAAACATAGCATCTGGTGTGCAAAGTTGTAATATTCTACATGCAAAAAAGTAACTATAAATAATATAAGAAATACGTCTGTTTTGCCTGCTAATAGTGTCTCATTATGAGGCACTTTTAATCTCCTTTGTGCCATTTCTGTTCTGCAAAACTGGGCCGAAATTTGACGTGATTCAACACGTGGCTTTGTTGTTATTGCCAAGCTTTGATGCTGACATGATTACAGGCACACCCAGTATGTCGACATAGATCGCACAGTAGCTAAGAGCATGAAATCGGCATGGCACCAGCACTGACGCATATGTGGCAGGAAAACCCACGTGTGTCACAAAGATTACAAACGCCCGTAAAGAAAAACGGCAAAAATTTGACAAGAGAGCAATAATTTGTATTTACTTGTTTAAACTATGAACGGATCCAAGGGGTGAACTCCCTTGTTTAGTTTACTAAAGTGGCAAATTTTCAACCAACGCAAGTTTGCCGCTGTGGGCTTTAGAGGCCCCTCCCCTTTTCGGGAGCCGGCTGGAACTGTAAAGCACTTTAATTATTAGGCTGGTGACTAAGTACATTGTAACTCTTTGTATTTTTTTCACCTTGGCAAGATATAGAATTAATGCAATTTAGTGGAAGGTGTTTATGTCCAGAGTTACAAGGAGAGATCTGTTGAACACGGGAGGAAACATATTTGTGCTACATACATCGTGGCGTGGGAATTGTTAAATAGGCCAGCCCATATATGGCGTCCCAGAGGGAAAGCCGACACTATGAAGGG